GCTCACTCTCCCTCTCCCTTTACCTTTCTTCTTCTTCTCCCTCTTCCTTCTCCCTCTCTCTCCCTCTGCCTTCCTCTCCCTCTCCTTCTATCTCCCTCTCCCTCTCTTCCCCTCTCCCTCTCTCTCTATCTCCCTCTCTCTCTATCTCAATTCTCCCTCTCCTTCTTTCTCCTTCTAACTCTCCCTCTCTCTCCCTCTTCCTCTCCCTCATCACCAGTCCCCATGACCCTCCATTCTACACGCCCTCGCTGTCAACTTGCAACTTTCTATTCCGTCGTATCGTATTTGTTCTTGCATCCCGTCCCGTGTTGCAAGGTGCGTGGGCGTAGGCGCTCTCTCGATGAATGGGGCGAATAGTTACAACCTTTTGGGAGTTCAGGTCTACGCATGCAGGCCGGTTGAAGGGCTGTAGTGGGAAATCGAGTGCATGGCCGTGGAGATGTGTGTGTGTGTGTGTATATGTGTGTGTGTGTGTGTGTGTGTGTGTGTGTGTGTGTGTGTGTGTGTGTGTGTGTGTGTGTGTGTGTGTGTATGTGTGTGTGTGTGTGTGTGTGTGTGTGTGTGTGTGTGTGTGTGTGTGTGTGTGTGCATGGGAGAGAGAGAGAGAGAGAGAGAGAGAGAGAGAGAGAGAGAGAGAGAGAGAGAGAGAGAGAGAGAGAGAGAGAAAGAGAGAGAGAGAGAGAGAGAGAGAGAGATAGAGATGGCTGAATGAATGGACGGGCGGCGTACACACAAACACACTCACACCACACACACACACACACACACACACACACACACACACACACACACACACACACACACACACACACACACACACACACACACACACACACACACACACACACACACACACACACACACACACATACACGCAGGCAATTATTTATTTTCTCTGACCTCCTTTATCGGTCTTCAGTAACAGAAGATAAGCGAACAAATAATGTGAACGAAAGAGAGACAGAGAGAAAGTATATGATAATACCTTTCAATCTTTCTTTCTTTTTTAACCTGAATATCTTTTGATTACCTGTCTCATTTTCCTTTCTCTCCTCCGGCTATATAAAAAAAATAAATGGAAAGAGAAAGAGAGAAAGAGAAAGAACGGGAGGAAATATATAAACATTATCTTAACTATCGGCTTAGCAACACTTACCTCCTCCTCCTCTTCCTCCTCTTCCTCTGTTTCTTCTTCTTCCTTCCCCTTCTCCTCCTCCTTCGCTTCCATAAAAGATGTCGAGGTGAAGGTGTAGGAGGGAGGGAAGAAGGGAAGGAGGGAGGGAGCAGAAGGGAAGAGGATAGAGGAAGGGATGGAGGGACTGAGGGAAGGGGGGTAGGGAGAGAGGGAGGGTGGGGGTCAACCTGCATTTGCAAGGTGGTCGCGTTGGGGCGGGGGGGGGGGCGGTGAGGGAGGTTCATTGTTCTCCATTCGGGGGGTTTGCATCTTCCTTATGGAGCGGGACGGGGGTGAGGGGAGGGGGAGGTGTCAAATTACGAGGGGGGGGATTGTTCTTGGTTTGTGCGGTATTGTAAAACTGACAATGTGTATGTGTTTATGAATATAAAACATATACATAACATCTGTCTGTCTGTCTATCTTTCAGTCTATCTGTCTGTCTCTCTGTCTGTCTGTCTCTCTGTTTATTTATCTGTTTATTTATCCATCTCCCCGTTTATGGATGTGTGTTTTACCGTGATTAATATCGATGGTCGTGTTACTTTATGAGGAAGGTTGGCACCAAACTTGGAATTTAATAATAATAAAAAAAAAATCACTTGCATCAATCTCTCCATTCAATCAGGATGCCCCCGCCCCCCAATTCCCCCCTTCCCCTCCCCCATTCTTACCCCCCTCTAATTCCTTGTGCTTGCACAAATCCCACACACAAACACACCTACGACCCCCCCCCACCTTATCCCCCCCTCCTCCCCTCGGCTCCTCCTTCCCTTCACCCCCACTCCCCCTCTTCCCACTTTCTCCCCAAACCCACACACATCATGCCCTCCCCCCTCCCCCCTCCCCCCACGCTACCCTCTGCAAGATGCCCCGCCTCCTTTGGTCCTGCTTTGGCGAACGAACCCCTGCCCCCTAGTTCAAGCCCCTACTCCCTACCCCTTGCCCATGCCCAACGTCCGTCCCTCTACCTCTACCCCAACCCACCTCCCCACCCCACACCCCCTATTCCCCAACCCTCTGCCCAACCCCCCAACCCCAAACACCCCTCCCCCCCCATTTACATACCCGCCTCCCCTTCTTCTCCCCCCTCCCCCCCAGCAGTCAACCCGGCTTCTAACGCCCCTCCTCTCTTCTCCTCCACTCCTGCAGGCGCCACAGATGTCCCCACTCGCAGCCCACCGCGCGGCGCTGGCAGCATACAGCCCTCTACGACGAATCTGCCGAAATCTCCTACTCCACTGAACAGAGCTCGGCCTACCGCTCCTACTCGACCTCCGAACACCAGGCGGCGCTCAAGATGGAGAGGAAGCAGTACGGGGACAAGTGAGTGTTTGGAGATTTAAGTTTTTGAGATTTCTGTTTTTTTTTTTTAAGGAGATTTTTTTTTTGTGTGTGTAATGTTGGTCTTGTTAGTGTTGTTGTTATTGTTTTTGTTGTTGGTGGTGGTGGTGGTGGTATTGCTGGAGAAGGCGTACGTGTTGTAGATTTTGGATGTTTGGTTGTTGCTTGTGGTCGCTAATTACATTTTATCGTCGTCGTAGTAGTAGCAGTATTTTTTGTCGTTATTATGGTTGTTATAGAAGTTCCTGAAGTATTAGTTGTTGTTGATGATGTAGATGAAATCATTGTTTTCTTAGTGATGATGTTAATGTTTATTCCACCATCTGTTCTCTAAGCATCCATATCGTCAAGTAAATTGAACTACGGTATCTGATTAGTAAGAGTTACAGATGTAGTTACTGCTGTTATTAGTATTAGTAATGTGACGAGGGTGTGTTAAATGTGGTGTAACTGTGTGTATATTGTGAGCATATTCTTAGAGTTAATCGTTGTTGTGAATTGTGAATGCGCTGTGATATTATTAGTATTATTGTTTTTGTTTGTTACAGTTGCCAGGGTAGTGTATGTTAATTGTGTGTTAATTCAAGAAGGTATTTTGTTCTGATTTATTGTGTTAAAGATTGTGTTGATATTGTGTTTCTTTTATTGCTATCGTTCTTGTTGCTAAGGTTGCATTGTGTTAGTCAGTGTGTGTATTTGCTATGTTAAAGATTATTCTCGTTGCCATTGCTAAATATGCTGGTGTTTTTTATATATTTTTAGTGTTCTTGTTCCAACTGCTAACGTCAAAAAAAAACAGAAAAATTGGGAAAAGGTGATATGACGAGTGACTTCGTGTGTGTGTGTGTCACCGTATTTGAAAAGCGACAATAATGAAGGGAAAAAAAGGAAAATAACTATTACATTAAAAAGAAAAATGGTAATAAATTGAGTGAAGATAAAAACGACATTATGCAGTTACATGTTGCAAAGGCAGATTAGCAGATGAACTTCTGAACTTGTGGTTTTAAATTGGCAAGTGTTGCGAAGGTACAAATCAAGAACAGATTTCCGGTGACAAGCAAGATGCAAATATATTTTCTTTTAATTCTGTTTGTGACTAAATTCAATTATGAAGGAGGAGGAAAAGCAGCAAAATTATGAAAATGAAATTGACAAAGAGTGATAATGAAGACTAAGGTGTTGATGATCTTGTTGGTGATTATAACAAACATTCTGATAATATATATAAAAATAATTATAATGATCGTAATGACAATAGTGATAATGAAGATAATAACGATTACGATATTAATAATGATAATGATAATGATAACAGTGATAATGGTATTATTAATGATAATGATGATGGCAATGAAAATTATGAAGCAAATGCCAAAGAATATGATACATATATTGATATCAAACTCTAATACCATTAATTACAGCAACGGTGACAATAATTCGATAATGATAAAAGAAAAGAGAAGGAAAAAAGAAAGAAAAAAAAAACAGAAAAAGTAAAAGAAACATGAAAACAAAATCCCAGAGAATGGTAAATGACTAAATATTAGGACTAACAAACAAACAGCAAATATTGAAAACAAAAATGTTGAGAAATTGGCAAGCTGCCCCTAAAAAAAAAATAATAAAAAAAAAAAAAATAAAAAAAAATAAACCTCCTCCTTCACCTAAACCTTGAACCTAAGAACCTTTTGAGGTTTGCTTCGCGATCATGTAAGTTTTTTCACGGACACAGGTTCAAGATCTACGTACGTTTGTGTGTGTACGTAATTCTTGAACTTGTGTACGTGAAGAACTTAAATGGATACTTGTCTGTGTGTGTGTATACGGTATGGGTGCAATATAATTCCTCAGAGCAATGTGTACTTATACACTCAGATATATATACATACATGCATACATACATACATACATACATACATACATACATACATACATACATACATACATACATATATACATACATGCATACATACATGGTCACACACACACACACACACACACACACACACACACACACACACACACACACACACACAAAATGAAAATGAGCAAACGAGAGAGAGAGAGAGAGAGAGAGAGAGAGAGAGAGAGAGAGAGAGAGAGAGAGAGAGAGAGAGAGAGAGAGAGAGAGAAGGAGAAGGAGAGAGGAGAGAGAGAGAGAGAGAGAGAGAGAGAGAGAGAGAGAGAGAGAGAGAGAGAGAGAGAGAGAGAGAGAGAGAGTGAAAGAGAGAGAGAGAGAGAGACGGAGCGATATTTAAAACGAAACCAGTCTACCGTGGCTGCGTGGGAAGGTGTGGGCCGCCAGCGCAGAGGTGTGGGAGTGACCACTCGTTTCCCGGGTGTGGGGGTGGGGGTGGGGGTGGAGTGGGGATGTGAGGGCGGCTGGGGGTCAGAGAGGGGGAAAGTGTGCTTATGTACGCGTGTGCGTGTGTGTGTGTGTGTGTGTGTGTGTATGTGTGTGTATGTGTGTGTGTGT